TGCAACTCATTTCTCTTTTAAATTTCCATTTGATCTGCTGATTGGTATGTATGTGTGTGTCAGGGGTGGGTTCTACTTACCTTTACTACCAGTTCACAACGGGGCCCTGCATGTGTGTTTGCTTCGCTCGTGCGCATGCTCTTCTGCACATGCATTCTGATGATGTCAGGGTCAGTGGGCGGAGCCTGCCGCCGGTTTTACTACCGGTTCTATAGAACCAGTGCGAACCAGGGGCAACCCACCACTGGTGTGTGTGTGTGGTGTGTGTATGTATGTGTGTGTGTGTGTGTGTGTTTGTGAAGGGTATGTTTTCTACATTGAGACCCAGTTTGGTACAGTGGTAAAGACATCAAACTAGAAACTAGGAGACTGTAATTTCTAGTCCTGCCTTAGTCACATAACCAGTTCGGTGACCTTGTGCCAGTCACACTTTCTCAGTCTGGTGAAGGAGGCAATGGTAAACCACTTTTGAAAAACTTTGCCAAGAAAACTGCAGGGATTTACTCAGGTAGTCTCGGAATCAAGCACAAAGAAAAATAAATGTTTTACATGGAACGCTGGCCTGATTTCCTTTAATGTTTTGAATAAATAGGCAAATTTAGGTAGCTTAAATGGGCCTATATGCCATTGCTAGAATTTCCTGAGATTCTTCATCCAATTAGAAACCAGCAAATATGTATGATTGCTAATTAAAACACAGCAAACAGAACACAGTGTGGAACAGCAGTTTCTATAATCTTCAGACATGCAGACTTGGGATGATGAATTATATAGAGTAATGTACCTAAAAACTATAAATCCATGTATAGCATTGCTCTCACCCCTCCTGATCTTTAGAATTGGTTTTTTTATGTGCAAATGGTTTTTGCCCCATGGACACTAATAATAATGTTTTGTACACTATTACAGAGCACAAATAGAAATAGTTGCATTCAATAAGGTACTTAGTATAAACATATATCTATGGGTGTGGGTCAGTGGTGGGTTGCTCCCAATCGTCATCGGCAATCTGTGCATGCGCAGAAGCAAGGTGTGCATGTGCGTTTCGCTCACGCACGCACAATCCCATTGCGAACCGGTAGTAAAGGTAAGTAGAATCCACCCCTGGTGTGGGTGCGTGGGTTTGTATGTATAGACACACACATACACACACATATACACACAGAGAGAGATAAATACATAATTTTTTCTCCTCCTGCTTTATATGATTATGCCTTAACAAATCAAAATATATTTGAGGAGAAAACAAATATTTCTACTTAGAAAATATACGGGGAGCATTAAGTGTTGGAATACAAATCAGATTAACACACTCACCCAATGCTTCACTTATTCTTACTTCCTGGTATTTTTAATCCATGGGTTTGGAAGGCAGGAGATAGGGTAGGAAGTTTACCTCAAAATGTAGAAGATTTCCAGAAAACAACAGCTAAGGATAAGCATAACGGGATATATTGGCCTGAAGAATAAACCATTTTTTATGGTTGTAGAATGGCTTGGAGATTTGAATCCTTGCAAGAAGTTACTGCAGGGTATGAGGCCTCCATTCACTTCCGTGATCAGATATTTTGCTCACTTTTGCTAGCATTCATCAACTTATGGTTGTCCTACACAAAAATAACTGGTTGTCCTACACAAAAGGGAATGGAAATTCCAGTTCTGGTAGAAAATCCCATCTCTTGCAGATACACCCTACCTAACCAACACTTGAAAAGTACCTTGGAGAGATAGATCTTAATATGTCAGAAAGATTACTTGGGAACATCAAACAATCTGATTCTAAGCAGTTTAGGTCTTTAGAGGATAAAAACAATGCTCTACTTTCTCACTACCTCTACCTATATATGTCATCTAAGGAATTCTGGGAGTTGAAGCTCATACTTCTTAAAATTGCCAAGATTGAGAAACACTGTGCTAAACTATTACTGTGGCTTAGGTTTCTATTTATTTCAATAAGTATGACAGCATTTAACTCAGATAACTTTCATATGTGGCCAGACCAGGATATTGTGGGCTCATGTGTCAGCACCATATAATCCCATGCTGCTAATCGGCCTATTTGTCTGCAATAGGGAAGATGAATGTTGTTCCTTATTTTGAATTGAATAGTGGTTTCCGTTGTGTTCCTTGCTTAGTCAAGGTGGGATTTATTTATCTTCAAATAAACAGAGCAAGTTGAAAAAAATCATGGGAGTATCTGGGTGATCCAATGCACAGACATCGATGACCATGAATACTACTGTCACATTTTTTCCCCCTTCAATCTTTTGGATTTTGATAGTTAATGCAAAACTCATACTGAATTCTGCCTACTCAGAATTTGTTTTTGGAAACTCAGACTGAATTCAGATGTAATGAAAGAAAACTCTCCCAAATTTTCCTTGTGCCGTTTGCTTTTTAGGAACTGTACATTTTATCCTATCAGACAAATATCTGTATATTACTCTATTTTAACTCAGTTACCATAGTGGTGAATTTGCAACGTGCTTAGAGAACATTGAAATCACATCAGACCAGGAATAAAAGATGGGATTGGAATCAGGAATGACACCAAGTCATCATGTGTGTTTTTTTCTCTTGCAAATTAGAATCAGTCAAGTACCTTGCACAATTTTCTCTGAAGTTCAGATTTAACAGTATGAGAATTGCCAGTTTAACACACAAAGCCCCACCAGATTATCATCACAAGTGTGTTCCAATGAAAGAAATTAAAATGTCCATTTTGTGAACATATCCTGTCCAACTTTAGCTCAACAGGGTGAGATATTTGATTACAAGAACTGTACCATATATACCTCTGCTGGTTATGAAATTGCTTATATTGACCAACATCCTAAATGCTGCCAGAGATACTCTGCTCCTGCACAGCTTAGTCCTTGTTTGTTTGTTTGTTTATTTATTTATTTATTTATTTATTTATTTATTTATTTATTTATTTTGTCGCATTTCTTTTCTTTTTTAAAAATTTATTTTTATATGCCGCCCTTCTCCAGAGACTCAGGGCAGCTTACAATGCGTTAAGCAATAGCCTTCATACTTTTGTATATTTTATACAAAGTCAGCTTATTGCCCCCACAAACCGGGTCCTCATTTTACCCACCTTAGAAAGGATGGAAGGCTGAGTCAACCTTGAGCCTGTTGAGAATTGAACTCGCAGTAATTGCAGGCAGCTGGATGTTAAATGCTGCCTTAGTAGGAGGCATTAGCCTCCTACGCCACTCAGGCTCCTCTTTTTGTCTTTTTTTTTTTTTCCGTCTTTTTGTCGCATTTCTATGCCGCCCAACTCCCAAGGACTCTGGGCGGTTTACAACAGAGAATAAAACAATGCAACAATTAATTTTCCAAAAGTTTAAATCTGTTCAAAATCTATTGAATCAAAAAGGCCACAAGGGGACTTAGTAGAGGTAGGAGAGATTCTCAGGGCTCATAAACTAATTCATCTGATTCCTTTTGGGGCAAAAGCAAGCTAAATTTGCTGTAGACAATGAAACTGAGTATTAGCAATAGCAGCATTGAAAAGCAGTCTTCCAAAGGGAGAAACACTTTCCACGACTATTAGCCACTAGTCTTAAGATGGCCATTCTTAAACAAAGAATCTTAAACCAGTGATTCCTTGAAAGAAACTATCTTCACTTCATGAAGAGTTTTATCTTCATGAAGATAATTGTTTGAACAATTATTCATATTTTAGTTAATAAATGCAAATTGCATTGTCACTCAACAGTTATTCTGCAAAAAGCCACTGCTGTTTTCTTATGACTTCACTGATCCTATTTTCACTCCTACATGATTCAGGATATGTGAATGCAGACATTTGTACAGAGTCACAGAAGCTGTAGTCCACCACATCAAGGATTGGCTGGTAATCAAGTGGAGGATTTCTGGTTCAAGCCATTGCTCCTCTTCAAAAGCCACAAGATTCCTGGGCACAAACCAGCATCAGAAATTATTCAAATTGCAACTACTTAGATTTTATTTAGGTGTAGGGGAAACCTTCCTGATTGTAAAATCAGTCCAACACTTTATCAATGGAGGTTTTTGGCTATCGATCCCTGGAGAATTATATTTTAAAAAGCTGGACAGCCACTTCTCAAAATAGTTTAACTCAGAATAGTTTAATAGTTTAACACTATTAACCAACACAGTGGTGAAATCCAAATTTTTTTACTACTAGTTCTGTGGGCATGACTTGGTGGGCGCAGCAGGGGAAGGATACTGCAAAATCTCCATTCCCATCCCACTCCAGGGGAAGGATACTGCAAAATCTACATTCTCACCCCACTCCAGGGGAAGGATATTGCAAAATCCCCATTCCCTCCCCACCCCAGGGGAAGGATGCTGCAAAATCCCCATTCCCTCCCCACTCCTGGGGGAAGGATATTGCAAAATCTGCTCAAAATTTCCACTACCTGTTCTCCAGAACCTGTCAGAACCTGCTAGATTTCACCCCTGGTTTAACAAAATAGGTTTTGTACACTTTACAAAGAGTTGGACTAGCCCATACTGTCCCAGCCTCCCAACTGTAAGACATGTGGACTTCAACTCCCAGAATTCTCCAGCTAACATGCTGGCTGGGGAATTCTGGGAACTGACCTTCACATATCTTAAAGTTGTCAAGATTGGAATGCATTGGAGTAGGGAATTCATCTGGTCCCCTTCAGCTCTACAGTTCTTGGTTGTTTATGATTTCAAATGTCTTGCAATACAATTATTAATCTCCGGGGACTGAAACCCAAAGAAGAGGTGGTGGGCACTGTGCTGGGAGGGCAGGACAGGGAAAGAAAGATATGGGGCTTGATGAAGTCTTGCCAAGAAAGCTATTGTTTCTTGATTTACTTTTCCCTCCCGTGGCACTCTCCTGTTCTTCGGAACGGGCTAAGACGGGCAGCTACTGATCTTTTTTGAGTGGCGTTATTTTAATAGGCGTCCAGCTGAGGGCTTCTTAGGAACCAGAGTCCTGATGCCTACCTGCTTCCTCGGGAGGACTCAATAATTCAGGCGGCAGCTGGCAAGAGACCAAGCTTCCCTCCCCTCCCCTCCTCTCCCCCACTCCTGCCGCCTCCTCTTCGCCTGCCCTCCCATCGCTACCTCCAGCCTCCCCTAACGCAGCCATGAAGGAGAGTTGAGCTCTGCCACCTTCAGTTGCTTTTTGCAGCGCAGGAAGTTGGCACCGGGCAGCTCTTGCTGCTAAGGGGATTCCGGGGGACTGAAAAGAGGCAAAGGCAAAGGGAGGGAATCCAGAGGGAGAGTTTTTCTTGTGGGAAGTAGGAGGCTGTCTGACTCCCGGACTTCGTGATGGACCCCAAGGAGCGGAAGAAAATCCAGTTTTCTGTACCCGCGCCGCCCAGCCAGCTGGATCCCCGTGCAGTGGAAATGGTAAGGAAGGAACAATAGGGGGGGGGGGGTGCGCAGCGAAGGGAGGGATTCGAGGCGTGGAAAGAAGTTGGGAAAATAACAATGGTCAATCTCTTTTCCTTTTCTTTCCTTTCCTTTCCTTTCCTTCTTCTGAGGAGTTTCTTCTCTGAAGTCTTTCTGTTTATTAGGCATAGAAGTACACCCAGTGCACTGACTACTGTTTAAATACAAACTTAGGCACACATGCTACTTGCGGGCACTTAGGTGACTTAGCAATGCTTAGAACCAGACTAAAATCATTGGGATTTCAATTAAAGTTACCAACTGTGGATTTCCAAAGCATTGGCCCACAGAGGAAAAGCTCTGAAACTGTTTTGGATTTACCTCCAAATCATCCCTTTATGTTCTCAAATAGTTTATATAAGGTGATTATTAAACCTTACATGTTTCCTATAAATAATGCCTGTTTGTGTTTAGTTTTCTTTTATACCATACTCTGTGAATATTCTTGTTTACTTTCTAATTGGTTTTATTATATTGTTTAGTATAATAAAACTTTTAGTAAGTCACTTGGGGAAGTTTTTTTTTTCCAGAGGGATATAAGATTCTAAATGCAACAGGTAAATGAATAATTCATTGCTTAATACTTATTATATTTCTTAACACCATATGGGTCTTCATATTTGTGTAGCACTGGAATATATAAAGACACAGAAAGGCAAATATGTGAATACATGTCAGAAAACTTCCATGAACCCAGAGAATAGGAAAAAACACAGTACTCCTTTCCTTTGTAATAGTACATATAATTCATAAACTGTATAGGTCTATATTGGTCACAGTTGGAAGCAAGATCTTTTCTTATAGATGTGCAGAAGCAAATTTATAGTAATTATGTACAGTGAACCATCTAAAGTTTGCACCTGCTCAAACTTTTTTACAGTTAGAAACCTCTTATATACATATTCTCACATCTGATGCAGACGCTTAGCTTTTCACACTTGCCAATGTGATCTCTATGATTCCTGAATAGATTTTCACACCAAGTGGTGAAAAATGCCTTGAAAAAATTGGCTCACCTCTTTTGTAATAAATGCATCATTCCTAACTCCTCAGCCTGATAACCTCTATATTATTTTAAATCCCCATCACACCCCAGTCATCTCTGAAGAAGTCACTTTATCAGAAATTTGATTTCTGGTGAAATTATTATATCAAAAATATAGACATTAAGGAAGATATATTGCAACCAAAGCCCAGGGGTCAAGGATTTAGCCTTGAGGCTCTTTTGGGCCCTGGCAAACAGGTGATTTCTTTATTTATGACTGAATACAATATGCAACTCTGCAGAGAGAAAGGAGAGTAGGATGGTAGAAGACGCTAGTGCTGTGAAATAAATCCAGGTATGATAATGTATCTGCACCCAATCAATGAAGACTGAGCATATATTGTCCCTCACTGATAAATATACACAGGAACATAGGGGCAAGGATGCCAAATTTGTAAAGAATGGGGTAAAAAGACCACACGATGTCAAAATGCTTTATTTTATTTTTTTATATTTGAAGGCCTGACCATATGGGTTTTTTTCTCTCTCTCTAGCTTTGGTGCATAGGCTGTTTAAGATAAAGAGTCAGAAGATAGCTAAAATAGATTTAACATCTAGGCTGCTAAATGAGGTTCAGTGCTCTGTTCAAAATGGCCTGGTAGTTGTATTCATGTCAATATCCTGAACTTGGTTACTAAATTAGCTTATTGTCCAGCTCACTGAACCATAAACTCACCAAGCAGGATGGTTTTGTAGAACATAGTAAACAGCACAATAAAAACCCAAATTCTAACTACACAAGATTAAAAATAGCAAAGCTTAGTAGAGTGTATAAATTCCACTACTAGGTCTGTATCTGACTTGTTTAAGTGAGTTTATTTATTCTTTATTTAATTTATATATCCGTCTATCTCAATCAGTGATTCAGGGCAGGTTACAATTTAAAAATATACTGCAATTAAAACAAAAACACATTATAATAAAAACAATATACATAGCAGCTGAAATAATTTGTTGTGTGAACATGAGCCAGTTGTAGGGGAATGTTTGGTTCCAGGTTTACCAAGTGTTTTCAAACAGACTCTGTCATTTAAGTGAGCTTGAGGCCAGAACAACTGAAGTCTCTCACCCATCTCCTTTTTTGATGCCTCCTAATCAAGCTTTGTCTTAAATCTCTTTCTGGGTAAGGAAGACTTTATGCCCCCTCACATTTCCAGGCAGCGGATTATAGCTGCTTGTTCAAGATAAACCTGAGAACAGGTAGACTGGTCTGGAAACAAAGAGTACAGGCCTGCAAGGTAGGTAATGTCTGGCAGGAGAAATTCAATAGTTGCCTCACGAATGCTTACTAGGATACAGGTCACTCATTCCCTCTTCAGAGTCCAGGCTACCAAAATATGGCATCAGTGTGAAATTCCCTAAATTTGATCTCCAGCACTTTCCATTGGAAAAATCTGATGGTAATCTTTGATATTTAACATCCACCTGAAAACAGATTTTATTGGGATAACATAAGGCCAGGCAAGTATTGGGGTTTTTGAAAACTTGTTAGGAACACTCTCATAAAATGGCTGCCACGAAAGCCATTAGTCTATACACAGCCTATTTGTATTAGGAGGAATGGCCCATAATAACATTTATATAAGACAACCCTTTGCCACATATTCCAACTCTCCAGGATACATCCTACCATCCATGGTTTACTTTTTGTTTGCATAAATGGGCACATTTAAAAATAAAGCACTGGACTGCACTGGGGTTTTGTTTCAACATTGCATCTCTCTAGCTCTCTCTCTGATTCAGGAGAAAAGGGAGTCTGATAGTACCAAGGAGGCATCAAGAACACAAAACAACTTTCAATTGTCTACCCAGGCCTGAATAGTCAGTGGTCTGTCTTGTATAAGCCACTTTGTTTTCCATTTGAATCTGTGGGTTGCATAAATTGTCTCATGAACTGTATGTGAGAAGGATCCTCAGCTCTCTTATCAGGCCCAAGACATATAGTACATTAATTTTACTATCATTGTTGATACTATAAATTTCCCTTCCTTGCAGCCTTCAAGGGGTGCTGAATTACAGATTTCCCTTACTCCCAGATACCAAAAGTGCAGGTGAATGGAATTAAAATCTACAAATCTAGAAAACCCTAGTTTGAAAAATTTAGTCTGTGGAGTAATGTGGCTAAAGCCAATAGGCTCTCCCACCACCCTTTATATCCCTCCACATGTTTTCATAAGTGAAGTAGAGTCAATAACAGAAAGATAGTAACAGTGGAGCTGGAAGTCTTTTTCTGATTCCCACGCTCTATGTTTTCTTCCTCTCTGGACTGCTAATGAGATCAGCAAGTCAGATCCTCTGGCATAAAAGGGATACCCTTAATCCAAGTATGCAGCATTCTCCCAATGCTGCAGGCTATGACTGTGTGTTCAAGGCATGAATATGGCACAAGGAGTGATAGCCATGGAATTTTGGCAATGGGGACCACACACTCCTTTTTTCTTGTGATGGCTGATGTTCCTGGTGGAATGGAAAGGCCTCCTAATTGTGCTCCACAAACTGTAAGGATCTTGGAACAATGCTGGGCAATTGATTTCAGTACCAAAAAGTATTACCAACCATAGTTTCCAAACAATCTATACAGGCATCTGTTATTCTTTTCTCCTAGAAAAACAATAGGGATGGAGAAATCATAACTGTAGCCCCAAAATATGCATTGACTCTTCCTCCATATTTATCCCATCTCTTGTTATGAGAAGCAAAACAAAACTTCTATTTGATTTCTCTTCTAGATCCGTCGTCGGAGACCAACCCCAGCTTTGCTTTTCCAGCTTTCAGAAACTTCCTCCCCCGGTGAGTCATGATTTTTTTTTATTAAACCAGAAGAAAGAAATGGAGGGCTTGGGTGTGTGGAGTAAAGGTATAAGAATAAGCATTGATACACTGAGCTGAAGTACCAGGTTAGAATGTTAGGCCATCTAGCATACTGCTGGGGAATTCTAGGAGTTGAAATCCATGCATTTTAAAGTTGATAAGTTTGAAAAATATTGATCTAGAGTATTCTTGTCCCTTCTGGATTGGCTTGCACCCAGAAGCTTATGCATGTGTTTTTCTTATCCAGCAATGATCCTGAAACTCTTTACTGGGAAATGCCAGAGGCAGAGCAGTGTTGAAAAGAAATGTCAAACTATTTTTTAAATCAAATGCTTATTTCCAGTATCTTCATGAGAGAAACTACATTCAATTCTTTCAACTTTAGATTTTGATATTTTCTTCTGGGATTGTTTGATTATTCCATTTACAAAGAACATTTAAGGTGTTTATCAGCAACACCTACAATTTCTATGTAAAATTAGTTAATGCTCTTAGTCCCATATGGAATAACGTTGTAGAAGAAGGATTGGCAGGGGAAGAGTAAAAAGAGGAATCAGGCTAGAATCCTTACATAGTCACAAACAAACTAAATCTAACCCTCCCTTGTGTATTATTGACTCTTATCTAACTATAATCAGGTGCTGACCATTAGTTGAGAATATTCCTGTGCATAGGCTTTTAGCAAAAAGTCAATTAAATCGAACCTTCAGGTGTGGCCCTGGTTTTACCCACCTGTCAAATGTGTCAAAAATGGAATTGTACACTTCTGAAAATTATTTCATAGGTTGCAAATGTAAAATGATTTGAGATTCCTCTCCTTTCACTAGTTCAGTATGGCTAATTCAGTAAGGGGCATATTTGCATATGTCCCTGGCTTGTGAGTGGGTACACAGAGCTTATTTAGCAAAGCCTAGCGTGAAATTGAAACATGGGGGTTTGGCTTTGTCTGCCTGAAATAAACAGGGAACAAAGCTGTGGCTCCATTTAGTTTTTAATGGCTTCATTCTCTGGCTTCTTCCAGGCAGGCAAAGCCAGAATCCTGCATTTGTGCAATGTGCTAACTTGGTTAACAGGCCATAGAGAAGCCAGCATGAACATAAGAAGAGCCCCCTTGGATCAGGCTATAGATCACCTTGTCCAGCACTATGTCAAATATTATAATTGCCCACTGGATTCATTTTGGAATGATTCTCCTAATGTTGCTTTGCAGCAACCAATATTTCAGGCTTGCTAACTGTAATTCAGGATGTTGTAAATAGCCACCAGTATTACTGCTAGTGGCCATTAATCAGAAGGAGTCTGATAGCACTTTTCAGACTAATACATTTTATTAAGAAGCAAAAGCATTTCTGAACCACAGGTCATTTAATCAGATCCATTGAAGGGCTAAAATGGATATAGGATTTACATTGGCAAGTGGTTATGCATATGCAGGTAACATGCAGGACATATTATAAATACATTATTAAGTGTCAATTATAAAGTGTTACAAGTCCATTGTATTTTTAAAAATCTTCTGAGAAGGCTTCAAATCCTTTGATGTATGTGAGTTTAACAGTTTATTGCTCAGTTATCTTGGTGAAATTTCCTTGCTCCAGAACAGCTACTTTGAACATCTACTGCTAGCCATTGGTAGCCTGAAAGTCCACAAAACCATTTAGTTCCTATTCAAAAAATACCCAGATAGGTTACCATTATCAAAGCTGCTATAGCAGCTATTCCATAGCTTCATTATGTACACTATAAATATGCATTTCCTTTTCTTGATCCATATCCCAATGTTTAGTGGGAGTGGATGATCTTGAGTTCCAAACTGATTGCACAGAAGTACTTTTCTTTTCACATTATTTGTGGCACACATAATTTTATATACTTCTCTCATGTCTCCAGTTATCCTTTTTTTGCCCTAGGCTAGAAGAGCTCTCATTGCTGTGGTCTTTCAATATAGGAGACTTGCTCCATAAACATTTTGAATGCCCTTTTTTTGCATCTGCAAGTCTAAAGTCTTCTACAGGTAGTCCTTGTCTTATAACCATTCGCTTTGTGACCAAAATTACAAAGGCACTGAAAAAAATGACTTATCACCAGTCCTCACACTTATAACCATTGCAGCATCCCCACATCACATGATCAAAATTCAGGCACTTGGCAATAGTAATTACAATTACATATAATTACAATTGCCGCAGCATCTTGGGGTTATGTGATTGCCATTTGTGACCTTCCCAACTGGCTTCCATCAAGCAAAGTCAGTGAGGGAAACTGGATTCACTTAATGACCAGGTAAAGCTCTTAACAAGTGCAGTGATTTGCTTTAAAATGGTGGCAAAAAAGGCTGTTAAATCAGAAGCTTGACTCATTACCACCTTGCTTAGCAATGGAAATTCTAGTCCCAGTCATAGTCATCAGTTGAGGCCTACTTGTATTTGAGGGGAGATCAGAGTTTCGCACAGGGAGTTTACTATAGATTTCCCTCACAACATACGATATTAACACTTCTATTTAAACTCCCTTTCTAATCATCCCAAGTACTGGATTTGTCCCTCTTCGTTTTAACATTCACACATAAATGACATTTTCATTTTGCTGTCCGCCATTCCTATAAGACTCCCTTCCTGCCAGCTCAGAACCTTTTGTGCCAGTGTGCATGATTTTATATTGGTTTAAGTATCAGTTTGTCCCTTCACCAGTTTTATTGCTTAGCATGACAAGCAAGAAGAGTCTTGGATTCATGTTTGTTTATTTGAGTTTAGTTAAATGTGTTGTGCAAAACCAGCCATGATTTTGGCTTTAGCTCACTGTGACTCTAGTAAAAGTGATTTCCTCCTAGTAAGCCCTTTGGGAGTAAATGGGATTCACTTTGTGAATATATTTCTGCTGCCAAACCTGGGCCAAAGAGATACCAATTCAGAAATAAAGCATTTCTATATTCAAAAAGAAAAAAATGAGAGAGATCTACACAGGCAAGCATTTGCTTTCCTCCTACTCACTAAAACAACTCCTCCTCCTCCTAGCAAAATGCATATTTTTTTTTTCAGTAAAGCTTATCCCTGGAGGTTTTTATTTTCTTTCTTTCTTTTTTTCTTCTGAAAGTTTAGCTCCAGGAACCAGGAAGGGTATCTTCTGTAGCCCTTCTCTAAACAATAGCCCTGCTGTTGTACACGGAAAGGCATGGTGTTCAGAACAAGCCTTACCTATTCCATAGCCTGCTTCCTCCCAGGGAGCATTCCTTAATGCTTTTTCCAGCAAAGTTTGTTTGGCTAAGAGATTTATACAGACACGGGAGTGAATAAACAGCTTATTTTTTTTAACTTAATTTCACCTGAATTTGCTTGCAGTTGGCTGTGTTCATATTTAAGAGTTGGGTGTTAAAAGTGTGGCTTTTCACTGTGTGGGTCATACAGTGCTTTTCTTTCTTGTGAAGAGATTGGCAACCTACCACTTCGGAGCTACACAAGGAGACTTGCCCTGTAACCCCCCCCCTTTTTTTTTTGCACCTGAAGAGTTATTTGATCACAAATGCCATATATCAATGATAGAAATGCCTCCCCCCAAAAAAAAGCCCTCACACCACCTGAGGGGGAGGGGAAGAGGGGGGGAGAGAGAGAAGGTTTTTTTTAAAAAAAAACTTATTTATTTAGCTGGATAAATAAATCCAGCTAGTCCATTTATGCTTTAGTTCCTTATGGATCACATTTTTAACAGCTAAACACAGGTGCTTCCATGCTGCTTCCATGCTGCAAGGAATGGATTTAACCAAGTGATTATTAAACAGAAATTAACCTATTTAGCCTATCTAAGTAGTTGAATCTAATGGTGGGAGGAAAATTCTTTGCACCAACCAAGTCACAAGTATAATTGGCTCCTCATGGTGCAGCTGAGACAATTCTACTCCTGGCTATAAACGTCCACTGTATGGATATACACACACACACATACACATATATAAATATTACCAAAAGTAACTGCCTATGTGGAGGCGTTCACTCAAATAATTGGCATGTGGTGTGTCGCCTTGAAATAGTTACATTTGAAGAAACCATCAGCCCAGCTGCTGAGCTATGGAAATGAACTAAGCTATAACACCAGTGCGAGTTTGGTACACCACATTTCGTAAATCATTCGTTTAGCGAGCATTCAAAGTTACAGAAGCACTGAAAGTGGCTTATAATTGGTCCTTGTGCTTACGACTGTTGCAGCATCCCCACGGTTATGTAATCAAAATTTGAACCCTTGGCAACAGGCATGTATTTATGACCAGGGGTAGGCCTCAAAAATTTTAGCAAGGGGTTCTCTGCCCAGTTGCTGGGTGGGCCTGGCCATGGTGAGCGTGACTTAGTTGGCCTCCTGCACCACGGTGGTGGGGGGGTGTTTTTGCCCTCCCCAGGCTCTGGAGTCTTTCCTTGAGCCTCCAGGAGGGCAAAAACAGCCTCCCCAAGCTCCATTAGGTCTGTTTTTTGCCCTCCCTGAGCCTCCACGCACGTCCTGCACTTACCTGCATCCAAAACAGGCCGGGGGGCTCCTGGGAGGGGCGGGGTAGGATGGGCAGGGCAGGGCCAGCCAGGAGTGGGATTTGGGGGTTGTCCGAACTGCACAGAATCTTAGCTAGATGTTTTCCCAAATCCCTGCAAACCCCCAGCGGCCCACCCCTGTTTATGATGGTTGTATCCCAGCCATCAATCAATGGGAGAAGCCAGCTTCCCTTAACAATCCTATGATTCACTTAATAACTGTGGTGATTCACTTCACTGTGGGAGAAAAGGTTGTAAAATCAGGCATGACTCACTTAACAACTGCTTTGCATAGCAATGGAAATTCTTGCTCCAATTGTGGTTGTAAGTCAAGGACTATCTGTGTAACATAGTCAAGAGCCATCGTTTTTATCTTTTGGACCTATGGTGTCAAAGAAAAGTGTGCTTTACATTTCTTTCTTTTTTTTACTCATAATGTTCTCTTTTTCTTTTGCCCTCCCTATACTCTTCACACTGCTCGCTACAGAAGATGAAGCATCCCCATATCAGGTCAGTATTGTGGATTATTTAAAATGCTATAAACTAACCCTCTGGACTTCACCATTCCCAAGCCTGAATGGTCAAGACTCGTGTAGTAGTGTAGGGTGTTGGACAGGATCAGCGGACCCAGGAGTAAGGCCATCTTCAGCCATAAAAACTCATTAGATTTCTTCAGGACTGTTCCTACCTGTTATCCCAGTTTATTTCACAGGGTGATCATCATGAATATTAAACTGGGAAAGGGAGTATTATGTATATGACTCCAAGCTACTTGAAAGAAAGTTGTGATATAAATCTAAATGTATACTTAAATACCACTATATTTTCCTTTGCTATAGAACTATCAACAGAATTACCACTAACTACCATTAAAACATTAAGACACTGAGCTTGTCGATCAAAAGGTCAGCAGTTCAGCAGTTCGAATCCCTAGTGCTGTGTAACGGGGTGAGCTCCTGTTACTTGTCCCACCTTCTGCCGACCTAGCAGTTCGAAAGCACATAAAAAATGCAAGTAGAAAAATAGGAACCACCTTTGGTTGGAAGGTAACAATGTTCTGTGCGCCTTTGGCATTTAGTCATTTCGGCCACATGACCACGGTGACGTCTTTGGACAGCGCTAGCTCTTCAGCTTTGAAACGGAGATGCGCACCCCCCCCCCCTAGAATTGGGAACGACTAGCACATATGTGCGAGGGGAACCTTTACCTTTACCATTAAAACAACTCACCCCTAAACTGGAGCAACTGGTCAGATTTAACCACAAATTAGCAATTTAGGCTTATATACCATCCCATAGCTTTATAGCACATCCTGGGCTGTTTACAATGTAGCAGCATTATTTACATATTGCCCCCAACAATCTGGATCCTCATTTTACTGACCTTGGATGAACCACTGCACCACCAGGGCTCCTTAAAATAATAAATAGCACAAAAAGAAGAAGGGGAAAAACTGATTTGGCTGATAATGCTGCTTACCTGCTGTTCCTTAGAATTCCTGAGACCCTACTGAGATGTTGCTTTGGAAAGATCCTTTCTAACTTAATTCTTAGAGTTGAAGGCTCAAGTATCACTACAAGACATCATGATTCCAACTAGTAGAGAGGGTATGCATGGGACTCCTTCATCAAACAGTGCCATCATGTTGAATCTGGGAATTGTACCTCCTCTGTGAAACAGCATTCATGTTGAAATCCAAATGCCGGACCTTGTTAACAGGGCTCTTAATTCTGCTGGTCCACTAAGTTTTTGGATCAGGAGATTAAGGGAACTCTGCTGGCAATGCAGCTTTTATTATTTTGGTTTAATGTTTAACCTCAGGTATCATAGGATGGATGGTTGTTATTGTTTTTTACTTTGTATGTTGTCCAGAGATACTTTTGTGAGAGTGGCATTATAAATCATATAAATAAATAGAACCCACACAGGCTATATAGATAATAGCTTTTCTAATCAACAGATTGGTAGACAAAAGTGTCTTTAAGAGTTGGGGATGCAGAAACTATTCCCAATTGCAAAGATGCACATGTCAGACCTGTGCATGACTCAGTGTTCTTGGTTTATCTCCTTCCAACCTGGAAGCCTACTCAAGTCCATGATTCATTCAGGGGAATAAGGAGTTGTGAAACCTCCAAAGGCATGTAAAAGTTAGTCTTGTAGATTCTCAGACTCTGTCATTTGGAGTGGAACAGTTGAAAGTTTCTCCTGTTTTAATTAACAGAAAATATAGATCCCTGAGTCACAATCAAAGAAGGATAAAGCCAGTTGTGAGTTCCACACAATATCGTGTATCAGCTAGCCTTCAGATTGTTTTGAATAACAGTGAAGATGGAATGAGGTGATTTCTGTAGGAGGAAGAGTGACAGAACCTGAGGACAGAATTTAAAGGGGATCAGCCTAGAACAGTGATAGCTAACCTTTTTTCCCTTGGGTGCCAAAAGCGTGTGTGCACGCTATCGTGCACGTGTGTGTGCCCACACCCATAATGCAATGCCTCTCCCGCACGCCCTATCCCTTGCACATGTGCACATGACCCCTGCGCTCACCTCCCCCCCCAGACATCGCACACGACCCTCCTTTTTGGCCTCACATCCCAAAACAGCGCTGGGGGTGGGGGAAAACTTTGCTTCCCAAAACAGCTGGGAGGGGGGGAAAGTGCCAACTAATGCATCTTGAAAATTATAGGATTTTAGTCCTACATTTGCAGAGGATATTAGACGCAGGAAGATTGCCTATTGTCTATTTAGCTGCATATTGATGTCAGTCCACTTACAACCCTGTTCATTAATGGCCCAAATTTTAAATAGCTAAACATGAAAACAGCTGCTTCTTTGCTGTGCATAACAGATTTGACCATTCTGTTAGTAGCAACCTATTTCATACAGTACATATTGTATTATAAGCTGTCCAGAGTCATTGAGGTGGGTGGCAATAGAAATTGAATAAATATTTATTTATTCAAGCACACTACTTGAATGCAATGGTGGGAGGCAAATTCCATGCAACAAACAAGTGGCGCAGTGGACTAAGTGCTGTTAAAGTAGCACTTAATTGCCAGCTGCCTGCAATTACTGCAAGTTCAAATCTCACCAGGCTCAAGGTTGACTCAGCCTTCCATCCTTTCAAAGGTAGGTAAAATGATGACACGGATTGTGGGGGCAATAAGCTGACTTTGTATAAAAAAGAACATCGCTTTGGGGGGGGGGCGAAAGCCCTACTAAGCAGGTATATACAAAAGTATGAAGGCTATTGCTTAATGCATTGTAAGCCGCCCTGAGTCTCCGGAGAAGGGCGGCATATAAATCAAACTAATAAATACTAAATAAATAAATAATAATAAGTTGCAAGGCAAAAATTGAAGACAGTTGTCAGTTGGGCAAAGGCTGTCAACCAGCCTGCCTTCAGTCATTTGCTTTGAGATAAGCCATGTTTCACAATTTTGAGGGTTGACCATAGTTCATATTATTCATGTTTATTTAATAGAGAAAAGAGTTTTAGCAATCTTTTACAGCAAATCTTTTTTCATCATTTAAAAACAAATGGATCACATTGGTTGTATATGATTCTTCTTGCCGCTAATCTCAGTTAAGGAGAAGTTTGCCGGGTTTTGTTTTTTTTTTTTAAATATGGTCACCTGCTGTAAAAGAGAACCAGTAAAATCACATTCTTGTACTAAAACATGATAGTCAGTGTGGCCTAAACATCTTTCTGCAGATGTTTGCTGAGAGTAGGGTTATCAGATATCTGGAAAAAGGAAGACATGTCCTCCTTTTTTCCTCTGTCCCACAGGATAGCCTTGAAATTAAATATTGTCTAGTTCAAGGGGTCTCCAACCTTGGCAATTTTAAGACTTGTGGACTTCAATTCCCAGAATTCCACAGGTTGGGAGTTGAAGTCCACAAATCTTTAAGTTGCCAAGGTTGGAGACCCCTGGTCTAGTTGCTTGAGAATTTTTTCCTAAGCACCTTTTCTCCATGTCAGGGAACATCTCTACTAAATGTTAACGTAAGTTTTCAAGCTCTGCTGTGTGACTTTGATTAGTTACCCTCCCAGGCTTGGGCTGCTGCCTGAAATTGACAAGACCTTAATCTCCTAGCTGGTTCTAGCACATTCCTGTGATTGAAAAACCAGTCTTTCTGATGCTAGAAAAATTAATGTCATATTATATGTAGAGCTAAGTATTCTTTTTTCAATTTTTTAATGTTCTGGATGCCATAAGGATTAAACATGTGTCCTCTTTCCCTCCATTTGTCCTCTTTTCCAATTGTTTTTGTCCTCTTTTGTCTGTTTAGATACCTGGTAACTCTGGTGAGAGAGAATAGGAGATGAGGATTACAAAATGGAAGGGAGTTGATCTAAGTTAGAGATATTACACTAAAGCTATTGAGCTTTATAAACAATTCCTCGTAGCTTAACAAGTTATACTGTATATATCTGGTCACCTTGAAATAAATCAGAATTTGACATGGTATGTACTAATTAAATCTTTAGCAAGGAGACGGAGGAATAAATATTATTACAGTCGACTTCAAAAAGTAGCACCAGAACTAAAGGCTATATAGTGTGAATAGCAGCTTTTTTGTTTCCTAGTTTTCTGGGTATGTCTGGTCTCTTCCCTTCAGTAATAGCAAGCAGGGGTGAGAGTAAGATGTCAAGGTCAATAGATGAGAATTTTGCAGCTCTGCATTTCCTTACTCAAACAAAAGGCTTTGCAGGCTGCAAAATGGCTCTGCTACAATAAGAGACTTTGGAATTTAGTAAAAAAAAAAATTTTTTTTTTCTGTTAAAGCACAGCTTGTGAGCTTTCCTGCCACCCCCACCTCTACCTGAGCCTCCCGCAGAGCAAATTTATTTTGGCCTGCATTTTTCCATGACTTTTCCTTCATCTTCAATCACATTAACGTAGCCTTTACTGAGTGTGTAGTTCTCCTTAAGAGACCTCCCAGATCTCTTTTTGGGGTTATTTTTGGGGAGGATTGTGTGGGAGGGGGAGGGAGAAACCAAACATGCAGCACACTACATGAAAGTCACATCTAAAACAAGTATTATGTATTAAAATAAAAAGAACTGAACCCATAAAAGAAGTCAGTATGCAGATTTTCAAAACAAATGGAGTTCAGTTTTATTAGTAGGACTGAAGAGAACTTGGCCTTTAAACACTGGTGTTTATTCTGTGATGCAGTCCATTCTACAGTCATGTTGGTTGTTTCCTTTTTTTTTTCTTTCTTCAGTTGTGCCTAACCACAGCACAAACACTGGAAAAATGTTTTTTTCCCCCTGCTATGTCATGATAGTGCCTTTATGATGTCTCCAGCCAGAGGTATGTTTCACAGGTTCTGACCAGTTCTGGAGAACTGTTAGCAGAAATTTTGAATAGTTTGGAGAACCAGTAAATACCAGTAAATACCAACTCTGACGCCCCCATCTATTCTCTGCCTCCTGAGTCCCAGCTGATCAGGAGGAAATGGGGATTTTGCAGTAACCTTCCCCTGGATTGGGAAGGAAATGGA